CACACTTAGCACATGTCAATCTCACTTAAATATCCGCAAACATTACTGCTTCCACGCACTTTCACCGTTTTCAAGATGAGTTTCTGAAAGTGCTTTCTTTACTTAGTAACATCTTTGACACCCCTGGATGTTATATATATTAAATATATTATTAAATATATTATATATATATCATATGTATTATCGAAGGAAACAAAAAAGTGGTCAACTTTCTTGATGTCACTTTGAACCTAAACAAAGGATCTTATGAGCCATATTCAAAGCCTAACAACACACCTCTGTATGTGCACCGTGATAGTAATCACCCACCTTCCATCCTAAAGAACATTCCCCTGGCGATCAATAAAAGGCTTAGCGAAATTTCATCGGACAGAGTATCCTTCGACAAAGCAGCACCCATGTATCAGCAAGCGTTAGAAGCAAGTGGCTATAATCATCAATTAAAATTTGACACAACAACTAAAGACCAGAGGAGTACAGAAGGGAGAGGAAGACACCGAAATATAACTTGGTATAACCCACCTTTTGGTAAGAACGTTGCCACTAACGTGGGAAAAAAAATTTAGGCATCGTTAAAGAATCCTTTTCGCCAGGGCACTCGCTAAGAAAAATTTTTAATATGAACACCTTGAAAGTAAGCTATTCGTGCATGCCAAATTTAGAAAGGAAAATCGACGCCCACAAAAAGTCCTCCCTCGCAAATAATTCTCAATCGCAAGAAAAATTATGCAATTGTAGAGACAGACACTCGTGCCCGTTACGTGGCAACTGCCTATTTCAAAATGTGGTCTACCAGGCCACAGTTGAAAGTCCCTTGGGAACCCAAACGTACGTCGGCCTTACTGCGAACCAATTTAAAACAAGATTTAGAAATCATACAGCTTCATTTAGACATGAGAACAAAAGGAACGCAACAGATTTGAGCAAATATATCTGGTCCTTAAAGGATGCTGAAACGGAGTTTTCGGTAACCTGGAAAATAATAGCTCGCGCCAGGCCGTACTCAAATACCACAGAGAGATGCAATCTTTGCATAGCTGAAAAATTCTTTATCATATGCAGAACAGGGGCGGGCACCCTGAACAAAAGGAACGAACTGGCGAGTGCGTGCCGGCACTCAACTAAACATTTGATAAGGCTGCTCAAACCACCTACTTGAAAGGATCGTTAGTCAACTAGTGTCTTATCTACCTGACGAGAGAGGACTTTTACTCCTTTCGAAACAAATCTGTAGTACCAAGTTTTAATTTTCATTTTCCTAAATAATTGTTTACAAAGCTCCATATGATTTTAGAGCACCCTCCGATTCAAGGATGAGGTTTTTTACATTTTTACACTTGTAAAGAATATATATATATATATAGATAAAGTGTGACTTGATTTTCGTAGAACAGTGCTCAATACATAGAAGTAGAGCGAAGTATATATTGTGGGAGGAAAAAGACAAGTAAACTTGTAGTTGAAACAGTTTGCACCGTCTGCAATATATATATATATATATATAGATAGATATTCTTTACATAAGTAGAATAAATGTTTAAAAAGAAAATTTGCCCTGAGCGGGATTTGAACCCGCGTCCCCCTGTTACTAATCAGGTATGATGACCACTACACTATCAGGACAACCATGCTGGCAACATGGCAATCGAAGATGTGATTTACGTGATCGGAGACGTGGTCTCCCGGGAAACTTAATTTTCTAGGTGACAGGGAAGGGGAAGCCTATAACCCCATATGAAACTCAACTAAGGATCTATTAAAGATACACGACCGAAGTAAACTTAGCGGATGTCAAAGGAGAATCCAATTACGGATACAGGCTAATTTCAATTAAACAAATTCTGTATACAAGGGAAACCCTGACCTATTGTTTATATATCTATATAGATATATATACATTCATAAGTTAAGGAACTAGAGAGGACGCATCGATTCTCTGTAACTCTGAGTTTCGCGCCTAAGCGCTCGTCAGACAGAGTTACAGAGAATCGATCTGCCCTCATTAATTCCCTAACTTATTTATAATTAACGGCGATTTGATGGAAATCTTTTATTATTAAAGACACTACGGAACGCCTGTCATATAAAGAGTGGATCTCGTAGATGGCCAGTGTTGGACCATAATCTGATTACAGAATTTCATGTCAAGAATGTGAGAAATGATGTCAGGTTGCATTTTTATCATAAGTACCAAGATGACGGCTTGGAACGGAGAATCTGATACACCTGTCATAGTTTCTGTAACATCTTGACTTGTATTAGTTTCAAACAAAAACGCTAAGAGACTTTTAGAGTTGTTGTGCAGCAAAAGAGACACAGCTTGGCCGCTCTTTAAGAAAGATTTCACAATACATATTAACCACCACTGAATCAGTACAACTCTTTGTTCGTCTACACGTGAGAAAGTGGTCAGCGGGTGATAACCGGTCTGAAGTCTGAGTTTTCAACCAGCAGTTGTCAGAGATGGCTGGGAGAATTCTCTGTTCTTAATTTGTTTCATTGTTTTTTTGTTTGTTTGTTTTTTTTTTCTTACAGCACAAATTGAAATAAAACGAGCAGGACTTTGTTTTATCTTTAAAACTTGACCTATAGGTATCTTTACGTACATAAATACGGGTTAAGACCCACTTGTCGGTAATCCTGAGTGATAAGGCTGCTCAAACCACCTACTTAAAAGGATCGTTAGTCAACTAGTATCCAACTGACGAGAGAGGACTGTTCATCCTTTCGAAATAGATCTGTAGTACCAAGTTTCAATTATTATTTTCCTAAATAATTGATTATATATATAGGGACTATGTTTGGGAACACCGTCTCTGAATATCCCTTGACAGACGATGTACATACCAACAAGCCTAACTTAGTTCTAATAATGGTGTTGCTACTGGCCATTTTTATCCTGATCCTTGTGATCGCTTTTGGACTAATCTTCTTTCGAAGACATCGAAGCCACCGTAAGCAATGTAAGTGTCTTGTGTTGTGCTTTCAGTTGTTCCTCATTAAGCCTTTTGTTTCTCGCGGAGAATAACAATTTTCATCTGACTTTACATATTTGTCGTTTCCTCTACTCTTTACCTTGAGTGATCCATATTTTCAGCTAACTGTGCTTGATTATAACAGAATGTGCATACCATCGCCATTACATGCTCTTCGAATAGTTTCAGCAGTTTGCTTCTCATTATTGTATTCTTCACTTTTTGGAAATATTTCCCAAAGAGCTCAACTTTCCTACTTTTTTTTTTTTTTCTGTCAACACTAACAACAACTACAATGCTGAAAATTAACCGATGACTCGATGTTTGGGAATGAAAATGGAAATGATCTTACTTAAAGTAAGTTGAAGATAGATTTCCGATATATATTGAAACACATTTTCATCATTGTTGCTTGTTAATGGGCTTATTAGAAGAGAGAGTTCCCTTTCCGGCTCTCGGCTATACTGAGCAAACCACTGCACTGGAAGTTATCAAAGCATTTGTATCCAAAAGGAAAATTAAGCAACGCAACAAGTTGACCAAATAGGAAGTGGAGTTGAATACACTTCGGCATGTCGTTTTGGTTGAGTGTTATCTGTCCCCTTGACAAAGAAAAATTGTTCTAAATTTACAGCAGTTATCTTTGCGTATCATGGCCTTACTAAAAAAAAAAATTAGGATCTGAGATGAAAGTATCTTCGGAACTGATAATATCTCGCAGAAGCCGAATGGATAGTGACAACGTGAACTGATGCAGCAACGGCTGAATAAGTAATTATTTTACTGCTGGACTCTGAAAACAGTAGTCAGAGAAATTATCAGTGAGGGTCATAAACAAATTTGAACGTGTTTGATAAGCAATGTACTGCATGAAAATTTAGTAAGGCCTAATTTCTTGTGTCATAGATGACATTTAACCAAAGATCGTGTCACATGCACCTTCGAGAAGCCTTCGAGCCCCATACAGACGCCACTCGACCCTGTGCTTATTCAACAAACACAGAGCCCTACTGAGCTTACCGCTCGCCTAAACCTTTCACGGAGGGAATCTGAGCTGGCCACCTATGAGACAGTGAGCAAATGCATAAAGGAGTGCGAGTATGATGACATTGATAAAGCTCGTCGAAAGTCGAGGTCAGTAAGCGAGGACTCTTTAGATGTTCAAGAGCGAGCACGAAACACAATGGTGAGTGGTGAGAGAGGAATAAAGCAGCCACCCAGTTACCATGATGAAAAAGAAGAGAACAAAGATCATGTTTACGCTGTACTTCGCAAACATAGAAAAGGTAGAGCCAGTTCTGAAGAGAGAGCCCTAACAAAGTGTCCTGGCCGCCCTCAGAAAGGAACCAGTGGGTTACCTGTGGACCGAGCGTCATCTGTAGGGCTTGAAGAGTACACAAAGGCCACCCTGAACGAGACACCCCAGGCTGGCGAGAACGCAGAACAGTTGTATGCCAGTTTTGACTAGACAAACAAGAAGGATCATGTTTACGCTGTCTTTCACGAACAAAGGAAAGGAAGAGACCGCTCTGAAGGGAGCGCTCTCATAAAATCTCCGGGCCGCCCACAGAAAGGAACTTGTGGGTTATATGCGAATCAGGCATCCTGTCTCGGGATCGAAGACTACACAAAGGCCTCCATGAACGAACCACCCCAGGCTGGCAAGAACGCAGAATGCTTGTATGCAGTTGTTGACAAGACAAACAAGAAGAAGAAAGCGCCACAGGTAACATATTTCACCATCTCATGTAAGAATTATCTTCTTGACTAGAAGGGTCTACCTACTTCAGCGCTGTTTGATATGAGAAACCAATGTTGATATTTCTACTTCCTCGATTCACAATAGATACAGATGATAATCAAGCGTGCAGCGAGAGCACGGGAACTGAAATAATTTTTGAGTTTCCTTTGAAAAATACTAACGCCTTATTAACCAAGTGTGAGTGCCGTAGTGGGGATATTATCCTAAGGGAGTAAGGACCATGCAAAGACAAAAACATAAACATACAACCGAGAGCCACTACTCTTAAGGACGGCTCCAGAAAGCGACGTTAGTGAATAGCTTATTAGAAGGCACTCAAACTAAACTAGTTCAATTTGAATTTTCCGGTTTTCGTAACCGAAAAAACACTGCTAGTGATACTTACCGTGGAAACGGTCCGTACAGTGCATGGTAAAATACAGACCAAATTATAACCAAATCAGGACGCTCAGATTTAACTCAGGACTACTTTGAGATATAAACATGTACATAGAAACAAACAAAGAAAGAAACAACGAAAAACAGAACAAATAAAAAGGCAAAAGGAAACAATGCAAATCACAGCAAAATAAACTAGAGCTTTAATAAATAGAAAAATAAGAAATGAACGACCAGGTCAAACCATTTGTTTGTTTGTTTTTTTTTTTTGTTCTGTTTTTTTTTTTTTTTTGTTTTTGCTTTTTCTTTTTTCTTACTGCTATGTTGATACCTTTATTCAGTGTCGCTGTTTTCACAAATTGCCTGTAAGATATCATTTACCTTATTCGTTTAATGTTTGATCCAGGTGCCCGCTCCCTACCTTGGTCATGTGTACCCAGTTTTGGTCCATTCCCCAGAAAACAGTGCCTAGCTTGTCAAAGAACAGGCCTAAACTTTAGACGCCCACAATGATAACGTCAAGACTGCAAGCGTGAAGATATCACACTAGAGTCTTGAGGAAACAAAGGAGGGGGAGCATTGGTGAACTCTGTTTGTTTTTAATCCCAAAAAATTGTTAATGATAATCATGAAAGGTTCATTCAAAACTTAAGTAAAATAATAACATTTCATTGTTGTGGAGACAGTGATCAGTAATCATTTGTTTTATAACTTTAAATACCGGATTATTCTAGTGAAAATAATTTTCAGTGGATTGTACTAGGATAATTGTAACAACCTCAACTGTCGTGTAGCAGAATGCTAAGGATAGTTCTCGTTAAGGTAAATATAAAACGGAGAAAATCAATATTACTCCATAAGTTGAATTAGTAATAAGTTCGAAATCGGCGTTTCGCGCATGGGCCTACCGAGGGAAAAATTTTAAAAGTTCGATGCACTTTGTACTTAGTGTTTGGTTTCATGCAAAAGAGAAGCTTAAGATTTCGCTCCACATACAGTCAATATATCGAGTTAAGTGTAAAAACTTGCAAATATCCCGATGGTTTTTGTCCTTTCAAAAAATTAAAATAAATTCTCGAGTTCTGCTGATATTAAATTAAACTACAGCGTCGAATTTTTCAAATTGTAATACCCGTTTTAGCATTTGTATGACAAATATCACGTTATGGTCTATCACAAAAACAAAAAGGGCTAAATAAGTTAACAATTTCATTTAATCAATGGGAAATATTTTATAATATGGTTAAAGCATTTGCTATACGCATTTCCCCTACTAATCAAAATGACACAATTATCTATCAATATATGTTGGATGGAAGGGTATTCCGGCAATCTTTTATTTGGTTAAAATATGTGAAATGAGTAATACTTAAATCAGTAAGTTCTGAAATTCAACGAATCACTTATCCTTCAAACTTGACCATCACTGTAAATAGCATTTAGTAACAACAGCTCGGCTAACGCAGCTTTCAAACGTCAAGCATGCGGGAGAGAATCAANCGGAGCAGTCGCCGGTACCGGTGACATCAAGAAAAGATATAAGCGAAGCTCGTGCGATTCACTGACTGTACGGTCTCACGCGTATACCCTTTGAGCGAACGGTGGTATCTTGACTCGAAGTCGTTTACCGTCGTTTCCTTTAATTTTGGCTCATTTCCCAAACCGAAATTATCATTCACGCTCGATAGAATATCATATTAACTGATCCTGACATCTTACTCTACATCTAAAGAAGAAAACGTTCCCTATCTTCGAAAAAACTCCTTCAAAACATGATGAACATCGACGGAGGTCTTCAGCTGCTTGAAAATATCATTGACTAGCACTAGTGCTGATCGCCTTGCACGTTTTGAGAACATCCCTTCCTCCCTTCCTACTCCCTCACCCGAACTGGTTCCTAAATCCTCTTGAATAACCTCTGACGGGCAGTGCCAAGGATTTTCAATCAAATGAACGCTAGAAAATAAACTAATAATATATTACATTTTTATAGGGGTGGATGGAGAGTTGGTGTGCGATATCCGACATGACTTGAGCAGTAGACCAGACTAAGTACTTAAAGAGATCCAAGTTTCGACCTATTAAATCCTACCTTCGAATTCAGAGAGCATCTTATACCCATCTTCAGTTTTGGAATCTGTAAATTGTGTGCTTATTGAAGGGGTCATTGTTGAGACAGGTCCTGAAATTAAGAGTTCGAGTCAGGCTCCTTTAAAATCAAAGTACACAAAGACCTTTTAATCATGCATTTTGATTTGTACCTTAGTAAGCAATAATTGACATGATTATTAACTTACTGACTTCCTTTTCACACATATATCCTGGATCGCTATTGTAAAATTTCGCTGTACATCTTATGTTATTATACTTCCCATCGCTTAGCATCACCACTTATTTTCCTGCTTTAGGATTGTGTGGTCCATATAGACTCCAAAGTTTACCAAGTGAGGTCTCGTTGACGCAGGGTATCCTTTTGCTTAACCAGCACCACGATCCCTCAACATCTTCCAGGCCAATAAACCAAGGCCGCTTTCTTTGAGCGAGTTTTTTGGTCAAGTTTATTCTTCCTCGGTTTCCATAGAAATCTTCTATTCTGTTCGCTGCATTTTTTCATGGCTTCCCTCCAGTCTGTCTCTTCTTCGTTGAAATATATCTGCAGTAGTTTATAACTCATGACAGCCAACCGATTTTCAGAGAAAAATGACAAAGAAAAGTTTAATTAAAATTATGCATCATCTAGGAACAAACCATTGGACACAAGAAAACTTTTTAACTCACCATGATACAAAAAATGGATTACGTAGACTAAACTGCGAATTTCCAGAACAAGGTCACTTCGCAAAAGAGGTGGCATTCCTTCTCCTGTCCCCTTTACGCCCAATGTTTGATGAGATAAGGGTAAATTTGAACTCTTATAATAACGAGTATAGATTCGAAGTGATTTATCGGCAACC